ATAGAAAATAAAGAACAATCTAGACAGAAAAAAAACTAAAGAAAAATCTTTAATTTTAAATAAAATTATAAATGTAAAGGATATTACCGTTAAATAAAGTTATTATTATTATTATATAAAAAAATTGAAGAAACAAAACTTGAAAAGAATTTAAAGTTTAAAGTAGAAGTTAAACAAAAGCTAGCGAGAAAACTGGAGAAAAAAAAGTTTAAAATGGATTCTAAGAATACGGAAATCTCAAAAAAAATTTTGAAAATCAAAGAAAAAATTAAGAAAAAGTAAAAGTTAGAAAAAAGCTTGAAAAAATGAATAAAAAATAAAGCTTCTCATCAGAGTAAAAGATTGAGAATCTAGAAAAGAATTTAAAAAAATTATCAAAAAAAAGATAACAAAGAACCTAAAAAAAAATCTCAAAAACCGAGAAAACGCTGGGTTATAAAAAATAAAGTTGCAAAAGAATTTGAAAAAAGTTTGAAATAGAAAATACAGCACAATCTAAACACAATAAAAAAAATAAAAAATCCTAACTAAGCATGAAAATAAAAAATTGAAAGTAATATAAAAAATTGAAATTGAAGAAACAAAACTTGCGAAGAATTGTGAGAAAAATTTAAAGTAAGTGGAAGTTAAACTGAAGCTAGAGAGAAAACTGGAGATAAAAAGTTTAAAATAGATTCTAAAAATAAAAAAATCTGAAAAAAATAATTTGACGAAACTAAAAAAAATAACTAGAATTTAAAAATTAAAGTAGAAAAAAGTTCTTCATTAAGCTTTTAAAATAAAAAATAGACAAAATAACGATCCCTGCTAAAATCAAAAAACAAACTTGAAATGAAGTACGAAAATTTCAAGTAGAAGATAAATAAAAAAAAAATTAAAAGAATGTTTAAAACAGAATATAAAAAAAAATTAAAAGATAGTACACAACACAAAGAAGAATCTGAAAATAAAACTGAAAGTAATATAAAAAAATTGAAGAAACAAAACTTAAGAAGAATTACAGAAAAAGTCAAACTGAGTAGAAGTTAAACAATTAAACAGAAGGTAGAGAAAAAACTGCTGAAAAAAAAGTTTAAAATAAGACTGGAAGAAAATGTGAAGAAAAATTTAGACCAAATTAAGAAAAATTAACTAGAATTTAAAAATTAAGATAGAAAAAATCTCTAAGTTTTTCTTTAAGCATTCAAAATAAAAAATAGGCAATGTTCTAAAAACTTGAGATAAATAAGAAAAAAAGTCAAAAAA